CCCCCAAACCCCTCCCCAAACCTGGAGAGAAGCTAGTTGGATGCGTTGGTCTGGCTGTAATTACTGCTTATTTAATGTGATTGTGGAGTTTAATATCATTAACACGAGGAGGGGACAGCCAGGAGTGGTGCCTGCAGCCCTGTGCGTCTGCTCACCCTCTGCAGTTCCCGACGGTGGCTTATCTCACCCTGTGGCTGGGCAGTGCCCCCTCCTTGTCCCCGTGTCTCTCCCTGGATATGCTCAGGTACAAAAGTGGCATGGGTAGCTTGTTTCATTGTATATCTGAATGTGCTTCTTTGGCTTACATAAGCCCAAATGAAAACTTATTTTGTTTGTTTCCTTGGGCTTCGTGTTTTGGAAAAGCATGAGGCATGTTATTTTCCTGAATGCTTGCAGAAGCACTTACTTCCCTCATAGAAATTATGGTTTAATGAGAAGAAATCAATTATTGGTGATTAAGAATGCAATATGTCGTGAATTTAGTCTTATTTTTCATATTCTCTGACATTTTCAGGAGATTTGGGGTGGAGAAAATATAAACACCGGGGCTTAGTCCACCATTGAGAAATGGGAGTCGCCCAGTCTCCTCTGGTCACAGGCCGAGGTAGGAACAAGTCCCCAAGAGGAAAAACTCGCTCTAGGATCTTAGCTCCACACAGGAACCCCGGATCCTCGGCTTTCACAGCTCTACTGGCCACGACCTTGTGGTCCTTCCGGACAGCCGGGGCCTGTCAGGCGGCTTTCTCTGGCGGGTATGCACAGAGGCCCCTTCCCTGTGTAGGTGGATGCATCCAGTGGAGTCTCCATTCCCAAGCACTCAGGATTTGATTTGTTTGGGGAATAACACCTGTCTGAAGCAGAGACTCTACCCACTTTATTTCTCTAAATCCTAACGCCAGAGCTGTACTCATAAATCCATGGCCACTGACATATCCTCTCCCCGTCTGCCAATAATTTACAGAACACACATTTTCCCACAGAGCCTTTTCTAAGCCAAGCTCCTCGCCGCACTCCGATGGCCGTCACTCCTCAGGCGCAGTCAGGCCCCTGTGGGTTTGGGGGCGAGGCACAGGCTTCCCCGGGCCTCAGACCCCTCGTATGCAAGAGTCGCCCCGCTGCCTCTCTCCCGGGGCTCTGCTCCCAGAACCAAATGAAATCATGCGCTCGCATTTGCATGGACCTGGCTCAAAGCCGCCAGGTTGATTACTTTAGGTCTGAACATAAAAACCTTATTTAAAAAGCTGTCTGCAGATTAAAGCCCGATAGGGAGCGTGTCTTCCCACCAGGGACGCGCTCACCCAGTCCGGCCGCCCCTGGGGTGCGGGGTGCGGGGTGCGGGCCGTCTGCGGGCTTGTGCGCGCCCCTCGCGCGTCGTGCCTGCGTCTCCAGATTTCATTACCGAAGAGGCCGAGCGCATCGGGAGCCCGGTCGGCAGCCGGCCGGCCTTTCCTCCTGGTCCTTTGTCAGGCCTTTGTTCCGCCCCTGGCTACACTCTCACGGAGCCACTTACGGGAGATTAAAAGGAGGGGACTCGGCGCGAGGCGGGG